AAGTGCTATGAAGAAAATACAACAGGGTGATGTGATAATAGGGCCTAGTTAAATAGGGTGGAAATTTAAAGTGAAGTGGAGCAAAAAGCTACAGCAAAATCCTTAAGGTCATAAAAAGACACGGAGGAAACTCAAACGCATATTACTAAGTGAAAAAAGTCTGTCTGAAAAGGCTAGATAGTGTACAATTCTAAATAGGATATTCGGGAAAAGCCCAAATTATGGAGACAGTAAAAGGATCAGTGGCTGTCAGAGATTGGGGAGAGAAAGGGATGAACAGGCAGAGCACGGGGGATTTTTAGGGCAGTGAAACTATTCTGTATGACACTGCAATGGAGGATACATGTCATTGTGCATTTGTCTAAACCTACAGAACGTACAACACCGGAAGCAAACCCTAATGTAAACTATGAGCTCTGGGTGATCATGGCGTGTGAATGTAGGTTCATCAGTTGTAACAAATGTACCACTCTGGTGGGGGATGCTGATAACGGGGGAAGTTATGCATGTGTGGGGGCAAGGGGTATATGAGAACTCTCTATACTTTCCACTGAATTTTACTGTGAACCTAAAACTGCTCTAAAAAATAAAGTCTATTTAAAAAATACTTAAGGTAAGAAAAAGCATGGTGAGTTGAAGAACTAAAGATTGCAGCTTGGCTAGAGCACGGTGAATAAGGTAGCCATAGACCGGCACTGGGGTAAGCCCGCTCAATAGTTTTAAGCAGGGCTTGTCATAATGTGTTCTAAATTTTTGAAAGGTCGCTCTGGCAACTGCGTGGAAAATGGATTATAGAGAGGCAATCAACAGAGGCTGATGATGGTGGTCGGGACAAGGGTGACGGCAAAAGAGTAGCAGAAGTGGATGAATTTGAAGTATGTTTTGAAAGAGGAGACGACAGGACTGGTGATGGACAGATTGGACATGGGAACTAAAAGAGGAGGAGGAATCAAAGACGATTTCTGAATGGGAGCATACACCACGCACTGAGATGGGGAGGACCACACAAGGGGCCACGTGCCATGCTACAGACCTACAGAAGTGGCGGCAGTGTTTGAGTCCACCAGGAGGAATCAAGTTCGGCTTGCTTGGTCTCTGCCTCAGTGTGAACAGCAAACGTGTGTGTGTATATGCATATATACATGAATGCATATATAAAAATACATATAATTTTTAATACATTGTTTTTATAATTCAAAGCAAATTTTAAATATTTCAGCAATCTTTTGAGGAACAGAGAGGCAGGGTAGTGGTAGTTGTTTTTGTTGTGCCCATTAACTTATCCGTCACCAAGGACGCTGAGGGCAGATGAGGTGATGAGTCTTAGCGAAGGTCACACAGCAAGTTACCAGCAGAGCTGAAACATGGAGCCAGACTTCCTTTCATGAGATCCACCCATGCGTCATCACCCCCCTGTGTGTCACCCAGCACACACAGGGAACCCTGGGAGCACCATCCTCCACGTGAGAGCACACATTCACGGACGACGTGAGGGTGCTGCTGCCTTTCCTGTGCCATTTTCCTTTTGCTCGCCCCATCACAGACACTGTTTAAATAATCCATAAAACGTGGCTGACAAAACCAAAAAAATCAATAACACCAAAGCAAACCTTACAGAGAGCAAATCAAATATTAAAGTGCAATGTGACACAGATTTTTAAACAGACACTTTAATTACGAACCACAAAGCCCCTACTGCACAAGCTATTCAGAGACCTTCCTAAGTGGCTACACAGATGGAGATTCCTCCTAAGTGGAAGGAACACTTGTGCCCGGGACTCACTGGCATGACAGTACCTTTTTATACACCCTCGTTTGGAGTTCCTCACCTATACTTTCAGCTTTCTCAAAGAACACCAAAAGCACTGAATAAATTTTAGGAAAAAGGAAAGGAGAATGCTAGAACTAAAGAGTTCACAGGTCTGGTCTTTGTAACATTATTTAAAGGAATAAAATTTAATGAGATGAAATTACCACTAAAATAATTTAGATCATATTTAAAGAAAATAAACATTGGAGGCAGGACTGGGAAGGCTGGACACGCTGTTTAGTCTGCATACTACCTGTACGAGTCTTAAAAATAGCCTTTCATTGTTCATCTGCCAGGCTCTCCCTCAGAAGCTGTAAGGACTCCCACCTCACATTTGGAAGTCTAAAGAGAAACAGTGAGGGGGTGTCCGCCTCTGTGTTTGTCCCCGTTAGTCATACATTTTTGTTCCTACTAAACGTGGGTTGTCTGTTTTCTTGTTGATTTGCAGACTTCCTCCCTGCTGCTTTTCTCTAATAACATTTTTCCAAAGGACCCCTACAGCCCACTGATGAAGAGGTAATTATGCACCATCACAGTTACTTGTGCCCAAAGAAGGGGGTTCAGGGGAAAGGAGTATGAGATACCTAGTCAGTTGCACCCCGACCTCCAGTCTACGGATTTAGAAAACCATGGGTCACCATGTGTCAGGGATAAAACCATGGTGGTCATGTACGTTACCATCTTATAACTTCATAAAATTGTTATTTTCATCCATCACTAATTGTGTTGCCAAATGCTTTCACCCACGTACATAAGTGGTATGCTCTCAGCACACACAAAGTAGAGTTGATATTTGCCCTGTCATTGAATACTCGGGTGGGCCACCCTCTGAAACTGCCCACAGGGTCTCCCAGCAAGACCCTCCATCCAGGTCTTATCTCCCTGGCCATTCTGCTCTGTAGAACACTTTGGACTCCTTGGACACATCATGTTTCTGTGTCTTCTCATATCATTAAGATGTTCTTTCCTTTTTGGTAGTGTGGTGATTGCGATTTGTAAAGAGAATACAGGAAAGACAGATGGCAAGAGTGAAAACAAGCCAGGACTAACTCAGAGGGGACTTGATTCAGAGAGCCTGTTCCTAGGAAGAGCCTGAATCAGTGATCAAGATTGACGGAGGGTGGGAGGTGTGGAGAGCAGACGAGCACACAAGTAGGAGTGTAGGAGTGGCTGAAAGGAAGCAGAGGATCAGAAATAAGGGAAGATTCAGGATGGGGGCCTTTGGCGCCACTCTCAGACATCTTGGAGGTAACTCCAGAGGATGGAAGCAGAAGGTTGGCTGTAGGATGGCTGTAGGATGCCAATGGTACCTAAACTGAAAAAGGCAAAAAAACTGAGCAGTCAAAAACAGGCAAATACTGACACCCTCTTCCCTTTATACTCAAACAATCTCTCTCTACAGCTCAATTTCTCTTCTTTCCTTCACAGCTTGAGCCCCATGTTAAATGCCCTGTTATCCTCACTTGATACCTGATACCAAGACTTGTCAACTGTCATAGAGACGATCCTATAAAGATCTTTACACAATCTCAAACTATCTCTCTTTGCAAAGCATTTTTTTACATCTATGGTGTCTTTTAATTCTCACAACGATGTGACATGAGCACTATTAAATAAATAAGTCCAGGCTCAAAGAGATCTAGAATCTTGCACAATGCCGTACAAGACCCTGCATTCAAACTCAGACCTTCTGAGTTGATATCCTTTGCTTTCTAGAACATACTGTTAGTCTATTTCTCTTTTTGTTGTTGATGCTCTTTTTATTTATGTTTTATTTTAATTGACAAATAATAATTGTACATATTTATGATAGTCTATTTCTTGCTCTCTAACTCTATATATTGTATATTTCACTAATCTAGACTTCCCTAATTCAGAATTAATGAAGCAATAAAACATTACCCTTGATATCCCATTTACTTGGAAATCTTGGAGGTGCTACAACAAATGTGCACACAATATATCCAGGAGGCTGAATGGAGAAGCTACTACCCTGAAAGTGGAGGAAAAAAGAAAGCTTGCCTTCTTTTAATCATCAGGGCCAGCATCACCAATTTAACAATAATATACAATTTTTCAAATGAATTTGCTAAGTACAAATGATTTCATTTTGAATTTATGTCTAACCAATGATTTTTAAAATTCAAAAAACATTTCCCCCGAATATAAAAGGTATGATTTTAAAGGCATGGTACTGAGTCTATAGACTAAAATAATTAAAAAAAAACACATTCTTATAATTTTATCAAGTACCTTTATTATGTATTATATTATCCTGTAGTTCAGATTTTCTATTAATTCAGATCTGCCTCTCCTTATAGAGTTTGGCATAAAGTTGGCTCTCAAATATTTGTTGAATGGATGGATGGATGCATAAATGAATGAATGCATGTGTCTATAAAGTTACACTCCATGTCGGCTGGAGAATTAAATGTCACTTGCACCAGGTACAATGGACCAATCCTAGGCTTTGGAATCCTGTAGATACAGATTCAAATCTAGTTGTTTGCCAGCTATGTTGTCTTGCGCAAATTACGTCACCTCTTGATTCTAAGTTTCCTCGTCAACAAAATGGTGATAACACTGAGTACCATGTAGGATTGGTGTGAGTATTACGTGAAGTCACAGACCTGGCACACTGCCAGGGTTACAGAAGGTAATATAGTTTATTTATCCCCTTTTCTCTTGCTATCCCACATTTAGGATCACTCCTTACACAACACCAACCTTAATAATGGTTTCAGTAAATAAAACCCTGTTGTAAAGTTAACAGCTAAACATCAAGTTTATTTACAATGACTTTACAATGACTCAATTTCTCCTCTACCAACATCAAACTTATCTATTCATGGTCTAGTGACAGGTTGTTATGCATAGCAGGTGTTCAATAAATTTTGATGACTTTAGAAAAACTTTCCCAGAGAGCTGAAGCTCACACTTTTAGACACTAATACTCTTTATATTTGAAAGCTTTTTGAAAATGTATTACACACTCAACCACTATGCTAAAACAGCAGGTTGAAAGAATTTTAACCTTTTCTTGGATCACTGTTATTAACATGAATTTAGACTTAGCAATGGAATAAAAATTAATAATTCCTTGGGACTTTTTTTTAAGTCAGTAGATTTGAGCACACTAAATGTTTACCAATGTCTACACTGTGATTCTCTCTTTCATTTCTTCCTGCAGTCAGCAGCTTCATCCTCTGGAAGGCATGAGACACTGGGGAATGAACCAGATCAAGTCCCTGTCATCTTCAAAGAATTTACCAGGAACAATTCTCAGCCTCATGATACACGTATTTGGTAAGAGCTTCAAGGAGTGCCCCTATTCCAAGGGGGGCCCCTAGTCCTAGTATATCCCTCATGATTTAAATACCTACTCAACAAATATTTACAAAGTAAATGAGTAAATAGGATGTAAATTTTGTAATTACTGTTTTTTACTTGGAGACTTTTTTCTAATCCATGGCTAGGCCCCATACTTGTTTGGGGTTGTATTTCTTCATCTGCAAAATAAGGCAACCGGGTTAAATTATGCCTAAGATCCTTTTCAACACTAATCTTCTATCACCCAAAACTTCTAAACTCCAGATGACAGAACTGTTGGAAATATGACCACCAGATAAGCAAGGTATTAGAGGGCATGATGAGTAAACAATGCATCCTCTGCCCTCTAATACAGACATCCGATCAAGGAGGTATAATCTTTGTACCATGGCAACAAATATAAAAAGAATTAGCTCTCACATTTCTTTCACTCACCCCTAACACCATGAATAAGAGTAGAGATATTGAGCATTTTTTTATATGTTGAGCATTTTTTTATATGTTTGCTGGCCACTATTCTGTCTTCTTTTGAAAAGTTTCTGTTCATTTCGCTTGCCCATTTGTTGACG